AATATGAAAAGGAATATATATATATATATATATACACACACACACACACACATATATATAAATGAATCACTATGCTGTACACCAGAAATTGACACAACATTGTAAATTGACTATATTTCAGTTAGAAAAAAAATTAAAGAGATGCTTGTGCCTTGGTGGACTGTGACAAGAGTGTCTCGCCAACAATTAAATGACAATTAAATGAGCAAGGCTGGGAAGTTCTAGAACTGAATGCCTAATCTCTACCATTTCCCCCCACAGAATTTAAAGTGTAACTGAAACTGAGACACCAGTCATCATGGCAGCTAGCCTTTAAACTTTCATTTATACTACCTTTTTTCCTCCTTGTGCATCCTCTTCCTAAAAAAAAAAAATGTTTCCTGTAAAAATGTGTAGTCATTATATAAAATTTAACAGATCTCCACCCAAAGGGTTAAGAATGCAATCACACATGGTAGGAATGCCAGGCAAAGCCTACTATACCAACTGAAAAAAGAGGGAAGCATACTGCTCTGGATTTGCCTCACCCAACAGGGCAATTCAAGAGGCTTGTCTGAATGCCGGGTTGCTGAGAAGGAAAAACCCTGACACCTAGTGCCCATCTGAAAAAACGAAGCCTTGGAGCCACTTCATTTCTTAAGCGTGGTCGTGTGTGTAGAGGTGGTCATCAAATTGCATTCGATTTGGAATATACTTAACACCCAGGAAAAACTTTCAGGAAAAAAAATGTAATACCATGCAAGAATTCCCATCTCTGATTACCAATCCTTTTCGGAGTACACATCCTAAACCTAATTATTATAACTGCTTCTAAACATAGCACTTTCTTCTCATCTCAGTCTTTCGTTATGAGAGGAGCAATGGGAGGGAATGGACAGCTTCATACTGTTAAAAAGCCCGTGTTCTGAAACAGAAGGAAAACAGGGTCCTAATTTCTATCCATAATCATTGCTATAAAAGGTGCCTGTCTATCATATCTTTCGTCATTGCCCAATTTGAAGATTTATCATCTAGCTCCCAGAGCAGTTAAAGGAAATACAATAAAAGAATGCTAATAACACTTCAAGACAAATAAGAACATAGTCTCAAGAAGGCTAGTGCTTCCTTTGTCCTACCAGTTAAAGTTAAGTTGTTCTCCGTCAAGTCAGTTATAATCCTTGGCTTGATCTTAGCTTGAGCCTTTTAATAACAGGATTTGGTGCGAAAAGCAGCTGCACTGGATTGTGAACTGTTACTCAAAATGTTCCCACCTACAATTACAGCTTCCGCCAAATGATCAAAACAGGTTAGCAAACTGGCAGGAAAATGAAAACAATTCCCCTCAAATTGAGACGTGGTCAGAGCAGAACTGTTAGTGAGCTGCACCTTCTGTATCCAGGCTCAGCAGCACACTTGCATTTAGCTGTGTATTTACATACAGTGCCCATCACAGGAGCATCACAGCAGCTAGAAATGAAATCAGTTCAGTCTATGTTGCAACCACATTTTCCTCAATTTTCATCTTTACTTGAAACTATTAAAAAAAACCCAAAAACCCTAGACAACTCATCTTTGGAGCTATTTGCAAGTAACGCAGTTCACAGATTTGATCTACATCTTTTTTATTCCCATTCTAAATTCATACTAAAATCAATGCCATTCAAATCTGACAATGAGAAAAATGTGTTCTCCTATACCTTTCATCATGCGTTAAGGTGGCATTCCTGCAGCTACATCTCTCTTGGTGGGGAAGGGACAACTAGGAAAATAGAAAGGAGCTAACACCGCTCTCTCCTTCTTTTAGCACGGGCACAAATGTTCAAAATGCAGGTCACATCTCTGCTGAAACAGCCAATATTCTTCCTCAAATGGCAAACAAGTTACCTAAAACTAAATGGAACTGAATTGTTCCAAGTCCTGGTCCCATCACCATTTTACCTATTTACTGTCCTGGAAAAAAAATAGGGAAGAAAGACTGGCTACCCATACAGCCGATGGTCTGATAAGTACAGGTTTTCTGCCTTTGATTATGGGGAAAAGCATCTCAGTTCATGGGGAAACTCTGCAGGAATCTCTTGTTTTACCTGTATTCCTTATATCCACGTGCTGGCTTTTAAACCCAGAAACTCCAATTCTTCAGGGTAATGCAATATCACCCACAATGATGACCTGGTAGAGCCGTCACCTTTGGAGAGCACCGCATTATGATGATTTAATGTCTATGTAGCATCAATGCATTTACATTGAGTCTTGGCTCTCAGAACATTAGCAGGTCAATTTTTTATTCCTTTTTTAATAAAACTATTTCTCAAGGCTCTGTTCAGATGCCTACTCTCTTTGGGATAGGACCAATTTGCTCCAAATCTCATCAGCATGCACTCTTTTCTTTCCCCTCGCATCATTCTTGGGGTAATATGTAGAGTGCCAGGCTCATGACAAACTTGCCTCTTTGGCCAAAGAAAATTAAACTGCAATAGCTGAAAGTCGACTTGCCCTGATAAAACTGGGCTCAGCACGAGGAAATACGTCCTCCTGACACCTTGTCATCTCTTAGGCACAGCTGTCCCTCAGAGTTCTGACTGCTGAAACTCCATCTTTAGATGGGTCAGTCTCTTAGTGGACATGTTCCATTGTATGTCCAAGATATTGGTAACAGTGTTTGATACTAATACTAACCTCATTCCTGTCATGCAGTGCCCTATAATCTAGCTCCGGCCACTGACTGGCTTCATCAGCCATCCTGGGCGTTAGTCACTAACTGCTCACAAAAGAACCTCGGTCTCGCTCCTCCCGAGCTCAAAGGCTCAGAAACAGCAAGCTGACACTCAGCTTCAATCTTAGTCAATCATTTGAAGAAAAGGAAAAGAGAAAGAAAATAGGCAACTAAGAAGGGAAAAGAGTAGAACAAGAAGAAAGTAAGAACTGATGAAAAGCAAAAGAAAAAAAATTTTTAAATTTTTTTTAATTGAAGTATAGTCAGTTTACAATGTCATGTCAATTTCTGATGTACAGCATAATGTTTGAGTCATACATACACATACATATATTCCTTTTCATATTAAAAGAAAAATTTTAAATACTATTAGATTTCTAGATTTCAAGATTATTAAAGCACTGGGCAAAGGAAAACGTATGGTCCCTATATTGACCCTACCACTCATAGCTGTAGTCCTGTGCCACTGTCTTAAGACATCCCTTTCCCAAGGTTTGTTGAGTCTTGAAAGGGTTAAAAAAAAACCTTTAATTTTTTTTTTGTATTCGTGTGTGTGTGTGTGTGTGTGTGTGCGCGCGCGCGCGCGTGTGTGCGTACGTGTGTGTGGTCTTTGGGTACAGAGTCCCGTATAATAAGACTATTTGTATTCATACTGGCAGAGTAAACACTACATGTTCATGCCCAGGCAGCTCTGTGCTTGTAATTTCAGCAAGAACAGAGCTCTGTCCCTCTGGGACTTCACTATTCCCCCAGTCTCCATTCGCTCAAACACAGAATGAGAGCAGAGAGGAAGCGGGAGAGAAAGATCATGGCAAGAGGTTTCACACAGCACTGCAGCTAGCTTTCACGTGGCCAAAAATCTCATTTTGTGTTTTAATTACATTAGTTAAAAGCGTTTTTCTCTCAGCTGTTCACAGGGGTGCCTTCCATTCCTGAAGACTACGCTGTTGAATGAATCAGAATTTAAGTCTCGCACAATGAAGCTTTTCTTTGCTGTGGAGGGGTTCATTCTGTAGTTGCCACACACAGTGGTATAAATCACTGCTTCAACTTTGTGTGTTGACAAGCATACATATATCTACTCTTCCCAAAATCCTACGCATCCTTCCTCCCTACTCTCTTCCTTTGCTTTTTGTCGAGGCGTTAGATTAGAAGAACTCCTACAAGTCTAATACTCTCCGTCTGGTCCAATGCTTGTACCCATCTTAATACCAAATCACTCACCTTTGGCATCCGCTGAACAGCTCCACACCTTGTACATATAATAACATTTTTTGAAAAAGATATTGCATAAAATGGGGGAAAAATGCATTTATCTCCAAACGTCTACCCAGCCTGCTTATGGTGAACATCCAGGTAAAGATTACTCCTTGTACGGAATGAGATTTATCTAGGGATTATATCTATGGTTGAAATAAAAACATCTCATTTGAGGTTTATTACTATTATCATTGCTGTTATAACTGTACATTAGAAGCACGGTTAAAATTAAGAAGAATCCCAATGCACGAAGGAGGTTACGGGGTATGAGGCAGAATATGACGTTTTATTATTATTAACAGTGCACTGTAGAAAAAAAGAATCCTAAGCTAGAAAATGCATTCCTAGGTCACTATCAGACGTGGGTTCTCTGTTACCTTCTTTCATGTTAAATTTCCTGATTCTGACTGAGCCCCTGTAAGACGAAAGTATTTACTATGCTCATAGCAGCACCAGATCAAATTATCTGAGAATGGAAAGCATACCAAAAAATGTATACTAGTATGCAAATAATTATCCAAATCAGGAAGAATAACAAGCAAAAAATACTTTAAATGCTTTTATTACAGGAAATCTCAAAATTTCAAAGAAACAAAAATAGAGAAAATAATCTATTCCTATGTACCTATCACCTAGCTTCAGTTAACAACTCATGACCAATCTTGTTTCGTCTACACTCCCACATCCACCAGCCCCCATTATTGTGAAGCAAATCTGAGACATTCGATTATTTCATCTGTAACTATTCTAAGTATGTCTGCCTTACAGAAAACAATACTTGTTTACAAAGCAAAATTGTAATACCACTTAAAATAATGGGATACCATTACCACACCTAAAAAAATCAATGACAGTTCTTTGATACCCAGTCAATGTTCTCTGGTTAAAGAATTCTACCAGTAAGACTACTAATTCTACCAATAAGACGACCATGCTGCCTGTGCCACTGGGATCTTAATTAATATACTATGTAATGGCCACCCCCACGGGAAGCTGGCACTGGTGGACACAGAGGTAAGAAAGGAAGGACGGGGACTCAGCCACTTGCCTCGTTTCCTCCTGGAAGTCTGTTCATGTGAACCAGTTGACCTTGATCGTCCAACACGAGCTCCGTATAGGTCAGCAGGTCAGAAGGCAGAGGGGGTGATGGAAGGAATGCTTGAGTGGACATAGACTCCCAGAGTTTGATCAGGGACTAGAGGAGGAGAGAAGTTTGACTAATCAGTAACAATTGAGCATTTCAACATGGACAAAAACAAACATCAAGATTCAATCAATCTAGTTTTGCTCTGTCTTTTCCAAGTGTTCTGCAGAGCATCGAAACGTTAGACCAAATTCTGTAGCTCTCATTCTCAGTTAAAATGGATTTGTAATTATTTTTCACATGATGTTTTTTATATATCAAAAATCAGGCACTTTCCCAACAAAGTCCAACTACTGAGTGATCATGAATCAGCATGAGAGCATTAATAAATACAACAGACTTAATGATATCCCAGGAAAATTAAAATAAAAAAACTAAATAAGTAGCATCAATCTCTCTTCAAAAAGGAAGAAAAATCCTAGAGAAACTTGGCCATAGAAGAACAACCAGGAAAGTGACATGACACTCAGCTAATACAAAGGAAACCCAAGAAAGCAAGAATCGAGTTCCTGCTAGAGGTTCAGGGAAGCATCCTTTCTAACATCTTTTCAAAGCTACAGGCCCACGCATGGGAATTAGGTTACTCTAGGTGCATGACTGCTTGTAAATTTGCAGATCAATTCTGCTCAAATTCGAGAAAACAGACAGACACGCCTCTCATTTTAAAACCATTTTCATTTCCATTTCCAACTTCATATTACCAAAACAAATGCTGCATGAAGTGGGAACTAGTTCATTTTTTTTGTTGTTGTTTGCTTGCCTCAAAGCAACATTTAAAGCCAGTACGATTCACTCATACCTACAGGTCCAAATCACTGTGTTTATGTCTATTCTATAGGAAGAATTATGCAGAATGTGATTTCTGTTTATAGCACTGGCACAGGGGGAGCAGAATCAACATTCAACTTCCAGGCCAACCATGCCAGGAATACTGAATGAAGATAGCTATGTTTCAAGAGAGACAACTTGTAAACAAATGGTTACATAAAGGAAATTTCTTGTATTTCTGAATAATACAGGAATTACAGATAGACTATTTACTAAGACCGCATATATCACTTTGTCAAAGTTCAAATGTGGTAATATTGGCATTACTGACTAGGAGACATGGAAAAATCCTATATTCATAGACTTTGTTTTTAAGAACAAATTCAGTATTCTTTTGATACCTTTATCTGTTGCATTTTCTGCTGGCGATATACTTTTCTTGCCTTCTATTGATGGAAGAAAAATCTGCAGCCTCGAGATGATTCACCATACAGATCAAAGGAATTTATTCTCATATAGAGGATGAGATTCATAATGTCATATTTTCTCATACTAGTTTTTATTCAGCTGTAATAAATCTCCCACAAAAAGAACTGATACTTTAAATTGTGTATCATGAACTCTGCATCCATTTGTATATGTTATATATTGATTCTCATCATATTAACCTAGGCTATCAGTTAGAGACCCTGGGTTATTTTGGAAAATAGGAAGGTGAGAACTAGAGTTTCAAACCTCTTTTTAACATCCATAATTTGAACATAGGCTTTGGAAATAGACTCCTCCCACAGGTCATCGTAAACTATGATCACAGGCATGTGGTCTCAGTTTACTCTTTTCTATTCAACAGAGGCTTCTATCCTCACTGTTCCTCCTGTTAATTCATAAAGAAAGAGCCATCAACATCTGGGTTGGCAACCACTAAACCTCGAAAGAGAAAGAAATGAGAAAACTGTCAAGATATTTCCTGCCCTTTGGGAGTGCCCTATTCCAGTCTAAGCTGCATCTGATGAAAATTCACGGAAAACCTTGCCTCTGTGGAACATGTCGGAGCCCCCCAGTTAGCCACCTTACCTGCCGAAACATCTCTGGGATATCATATATGTATGTTGTCCCTAAGGACTGTGCCTGGAACCTCTTTGATTGAAGCAGGTCTTTGGTCACATACGGAGTGTTGATTAACATTCCATGTAATGGTCCCTGTTTGTCTCCATATGCTTGAAACATGATCTGCAGGAAAAAGAGGATGGCATGGGGAGTTAAAAGAGAGAGAAAAAAAATCAGATTAGCTGCCTAGGGGGACTTTTTTCACAAACGTTATTTCTTGAAACACATTTTTGGCGGGCTGAGTAGCTAAGATATGCTTCTTAACATTGTTGTACATGGTGCTCTCACCTCTTTATAGAGTAACCAACTCCAAAAAAAATGGTATGTAACCAACCACACGTCACAGGCTGCTGTCACTTTTGGATTAGTTGAAATCAACAAGAAAGTACAGCATAAATTTCATATTTCAGACACCGACTGCCAACGCTTGCCTTCTAAAGTAACTTGAATCCCATACATTCAGAAACGAGGTATGTCAACTAACCTACTAAGCAGTCGTAGTATTTAAATTGAAGGACAGCACTGAAGAGAATTCTTTTCTCTTCTCAACAGCAGAAGACCAGGTCAAGGCTCTACCAGGTCATCTATATTTTAGTCTATTTGATTAGAAGGTGCTTCATAAGTATGAATAGCCACACAAACATTTCTGCCACAAGTGGATTTCATCCATCCATCTAGCTAGCTAATTGTTAGCTCATAAGACATAGCCTACAGTAAAAACATATCTATATTACTAAATTATATATATAATATACATATATTTCCCCAGTATACTACAGCCACAACTAGTGACTAGCTCCTGTAACACCTATGTTGTCACATAATAAAATCACCACACCAGTTTTTAATCATTTTAACTCCAATATTTCTAGAAGAGTACTTCATACTTCATATATTTAGATAGTTTTATTTGCTTATGAATATTTATAAAGGATGCCATTATTTCAATTCAATGAATATTTATTGAGTGCCCAGAGGCTGCATGACACTAAACTAGGCACTTTATGTATGAATACATAAAATATAGATTCCCAATGCAGTGTATACAAATGGAGATTGGGATGTGTATATATACCCACATATCTATTTGGGACCAAAATATACAAGCTTAAGTCTACCATTAATGAATAGATTTACATACCTGCTAAACAGGCATAAGAAAAGAATTAAGTACTTTCCTAAATCCTGGGTACGGTTCAGCTGAGTGAATTCTTAGCCCTTTAGATTAGACAAATGAACGTGTTCTGCTGACTTGTCAGTCAGGTCCTGTTCTGGGCAAAATTCGTCCTGGACTGCTTAAAACCCCACAGAATGGAGAGACCCCAGTCCTCATCCCCACGACCGATGGTCAAAGTCATCAGGTGGGAGGTAGAATCAGCAATGTCTGAGTAATGTGAGAGGTAGAATTAGTCTTGTTTCAAGAGATTCAAAGTGTGAAGCGAGGCCAGGGTGTTAAGTATGTGGAAACTGAACCTAAAGGAGATAACCCAATTCAAAGTAAGAAAAAAGGGGCAAAAGCCCCAGGTTCTTGGAACTACACTCCTGCCTATTAGGAAAGACAAGACCTGCAGGTATAGTTGTGTCAAGGTCTGGAATAATGTTAGGCTTGTTAGAATTAAGCAACGTAACTGTGCGGACTGAGAAAAGGGGTTGGAGAAAGCCCCCCAGGTATTTTCCTTGATGGTAGGAATTTAAAGTGGTACAACCTCCCTGGCAAACAGTTTGGCAATTTCTTATACAATTAAATATATACTTACTATAACTCAATAATTACACTCATACATTTACTCAAGAGAAATGAAAACATATCTACACAAATATTTGTAAATGAATGTTCATAGCAGCTTTACTCATAACAGCCCAAAATGGAAAATAAAATCTTAAATGTCCATTGACAGATGAATGAATGTAAAAATTCTGATGTAGCTATAAAATGGAATACAACTCAGCAATGAAAAGGAACATACCCATAGTCCATGCACCATGGATGAATCTCAAAAACACTATGCTGAGCAAAAAGAGCCAGACACAAAATAATATATGTCGTCCGATTTCACTTATATGAAATTCTAGGACAGGCAACACTGCTCTACAACAATAGAAAGCAGATCAGTGGGTGCCTGGGGCTGGGGCTGGTGCCTTTACCTTTGACTGCAAAGGAGAACAAGACAACTTTTGAGGGTGTTGAGTGTTCTCTATCATGATTGTGATGGGGTTACACAGGTTTTTACAATTTCAGAATGAATTGAACTGTACACATAGAATGAGTGCATTTTATTACATGTAAGTTGTATCTCAATAAAGATGATTTGGAAATGTGGATTTCTCTCTTATACTACACACTGGACATCAACCGACTTATGCAATGGATTACCCAAATCTTCCCGTTATGACTGCCTGACAGCAGTATTCATTACAGCTAATACCAGGAAGACTATTCAAGGAAAATGAGAGAAAATGAAACTCGGGCTAGTCAACCTTGCTCCTTACTGGCTGAAAGAATAAAAAATTATCCTGGAGCAAGAGGTTGATAGTACTGGGAGCCTCTGAATGGTCAGTTATCTAGCTACGTTATCTATGTTAATTCCATTTTGTACCATAATGGCCATAGTAATTAAAAATTGGTAACATGTATGTTCTACAAGTTCATGAAAATATGTACACATTTTATATAACACATATCTTTCACCAGAGGCCATTAAAAGGGCTTTTCTTGGACAGCAATCTCTGATCCCATCGTTGGCTCCCCTAGACCCATGTACTTAATTTATAAGGGTACAAACCACAATCACACTACATGGAAATTAAATATCTGTCTTCTAACATGATGTAAATTTCTTGAAATGAGACCAGTTTTTATCTTTGTATACACATGGTCAATAAATGTTCAATCAATGAACAAATGAATGAATGACACACATGGTTCTACATTGTTTTAAATTTATATAAAGACTCACTAGAGCAAAGAAAGGGAAAAACACAAACTGGCAATAAGCATCAAGCAGGCACTAGGAGTGCCAGAGCTGAGTCAGAAGCTGCTCCTTCTGCGGGCTCCCTCCTCCAGCTACGGGCTTTTCAGTTCACATGTGGTAGTGGCTGTCGAACTCTCTCAACTGAAGAGCCTGAGGGAGACCCCTATCCTTAGGGCTTCCTAAATATACAGGACCCATGGGAAGAGGGGTTCTCCCCCAGGCTAAAGGTAGCTCATTCGTTCAGTACTAAACCCCGACTGAAGGCATCTGTGTCTTTCATGCCCCTGTGTCATGCTAGCCAGCATGAGGGAAATCTAAGAGCTTTCTAATAAAAGAAAGGGGGGAAAATGTAGTTATGAAGAACAAACATATTTACCAAAAACATTAAAATCTCAAGTGGCCATCTTATTTTTCACAAGAATAGACCTGCCTTGAAGCCACTGTAGAAGTTAATTAAAAACATCCCTGGCCCATGGAAAGCTTTGACTGAAAATGTCTTTAAGGTTGCCCTGAAAACATCAAATGCAGCAAAAAATCATTGAATCTTCTTTCTCTTGCTCACCCCTTGCACTCCTGTGTACACTTTCTCTCTCTGTTTTAACTGTTCACTTCTCATGGGATAGCTTTCTCTGGCCATCTCACTGGGAATCAAAGCACAAAATGAAAGGTCACTCTGACAACTATCCAAACCCAGAACTTTAAAATTCATCTTCGAAATATGGGCAAAAATGTCTTGTCTTATTGCTGTTCCCAGATTTAAAAGGACATAGATAAAAGGAAGAGACACATAATCTCTTCCTGTCACCCAATGCATAGAACAGACGGAAACCTTTCTGTACACATACTAGAGAAAGTTCACCCTCTAAAGAGAAGAAAGGCACTGCCCAAATTCAGGCCAGAGACCTAAAATTAACATCCCAGCTCTTACAAAGAGGTGAGCAATGGTGAACCAACCTAAATCCAGTATCATAGCAAGCAGCCCCAAAATTTAGAAACTAAGGTGGTAAAACAGATTAAAAGAGAATCCTCTTCTATTATAGGACCAATTTACTTAAAAAGTCACTTTGCATTTTCACATTCTCAAATCTTTCCATCTGAAAAATGGGTTAATGTTTACCACTTTGCTCTTATAGGTATGATACTCTGAACTCTGTAAGGGAAAGATTACGTGTGTAAATGGAATAAAGGATAAATAAGATAAAGACACTACCTGATATTGTTCAAGCTATTATTGTATGTTGAAATTCTCCTTCTTTGAGATATTTCATATTTCAACAATTCTCCTTTCCTTACTTGCCAATGAGTGGTCTAGCTAGGCTGAAAACAGGAACAAGGACAAATCTGAGGGGAAAAGACAAGACCACTCAAGGAGCCCAAGAGCCGTCTGTAAAAGAGCCCTGAGCTGCCCAGCTACCTCTGGAGTCAGGCTCACGTGGCATCCATGAGGGCTCACTTACACACGACAAAAGGCTGAGGACTTCCTAACACTCATGGTTAGGACAGAGGCACAGCTTATGAAGCAATCGAAACTTTTCAAATTCATGCAACTGTTTAAGCTGATAGAGGATAACCCCACGGGGTGAAGCAATGGGGACTTGTGGTGAGTTTGGGTCTTCCGTCCCCAGGACAAGTGGCCCGTCTGGAGGAGCAAATCAAAGCTTTGAGGAGCCTGCTTCACAACTGTTACCTGTGCTGTCCTGGAGTCGGTCACTTCCTTGTAGAGGCTGATGTCCAAGTAATAACCAGATTCGTTTGTCAGGAAGAGGCGGATGGGAATCGCTTTTCCAGTTGGCGTCAGGCGGATGTTGATTTTCAGTTCTGCCTGGAGGACGCGTAATTTCCACAGCCGACTTCCGTAGCGCATCACCATGCTCCGCACAGACTCCTCAATCTGCCACAGACACATCACCAAGCACAGAACTGAGATACCTTGTAACTAGGACCTGTTTCAGGTCTGCCCATCTTTGGGGAAGGGAGGAATGGAAAAAGACACAGGTTTCTGGAAGTGTGTGCTCCATATATTCCTTACAGAAAGTCAGACAGTTTCTCCCCAACTCTATTCTTCCTTAGAACAAGTCAGGGGCAGTTTCGTGCTGGCCTGGCATTGAGCTGTTTTTCTCTGGTTCACAACACCCGATTCCATGCGATTCCCTTTCCCTTTCCCAATTATATTCATACTCTGCGTCAAAGATCTGCAATATCTAAAATTACAAGCCATGGGATTTAAGAGAAAGCCCCAAATAAGAATAAAATCTCTAGTTAAACAGCTATTAAGTAGCATTTATATGCATGGTAACTATGTTTCATTGCACTTACAGGACCTTAAATCAACATAGCAATTACCACCATGAGCTTTTTTCCACACAATTTTATTAAACTTTATAATATATGCCTCTTGGTAAACTGCACAAATTAAAGAAAGGCAATTTGTAGGTGGTGCTAGAATGTTCTCTCCAGACCGAGTTCTGAAGCTTGGTCACTGCCAAGTCCAACCGGGACTTAAATAGATAGGGCAGATGTTCCTGAGTTTCTCTAAGCTTTATACCAAGGCAGCTTCGTGCTCCTAGTTTTCAGGGTTTGGTGAGTTATTTTAACCAAATGGCCTTAGATGTGACTTCTACTTTTTGACATACTAAAGCAAAAAAAAAAAAAATTTATTTTTTTGTCCAATATGGTTACAGGCAGCTAGGACATACTATTCAAAATTAATGTTTTCTTAAATGAAGTATCTTGCTAAAATGTTTTCTTAACTTCTTAGAAAATCTACAGAAGTATCTCATACCACCTTTCTTTTGTGGCTCTTCAGAAGAATGTGCCACCCTTATAGTTTGTTTCTGCTCCAAAGAATTTTAGGTTAAAATGTGTTTCAAGGAGTTCTCCACTCCCACACTTGCTTGTTAACTGAGAAATATCTATCCATCCTTTACTCAAGGGAACAAAAGTCAACAAACTCTGTCTAGGAAACTGACAGATGTCTACGATTAGAAAGATAGAAATGGGGCATATGGGTGTTTGGAGTGGAAACAGAGAGGATGACAGCAAAATCTCATTGAGAAATGGTAAGTCACATCTACAAACATATACAGTTACATAGTGTCCAGGTCATGTTCTAAGTCTTCTAGCTTCATCAGTCCTAGAATACTTAGGAGAACCCTTACTTAAACTAGATGATGCGACTTGATGACACTCAATGACTAGTCCTGTCATTGGCTTTCCTGACAAAGCAACCCATCAGTAGCTTGGAGTCTTGAAGAAAAAAAGTAGAAAATATTTCTCAGGTCTTAGACACCAAGTTCAAAAAGCATAAGTCCATGTCTGCAATTGATCTTGAGAAAGGGATACACTGGTTCTCCTATCCAAATTCCACAATATTATGATAGAAAAAAGGTTAGAGGGAGCAGAAACAGAGAATAATCTGTCTTTATTACACCTGGGAGAAGGTTAAATACAGAATCACCTTGTTTTCCTTCCTTAAATTATATGGAATGCATTTTAGAATTAAAGCCTCAGGGAAGAAAACGTACATAATACACGTGGAATTCCATGTCAACCAAATTCTCTCTGTGGAAAAATACTAAAGAGAAATGGGTTAGACACTTTGGCATTACCTCCCGCGGACCACTGGATAAGTACCATTTAGTTTAAAACAAAAAGTTAGTAATTTTGCCAAAATGCCTAATAATAGCAAAGTTAGTTGTTCCAGATGAGGAATCCTACAGAATTAAGTAAAATCTAACTGCTATCATAGCAAATATCATAAAACAGGTACCAACGGAAGAAGAAGAAAAGGTTTTATATTTTTGTACTGCTAAAAAGTGACCAGCAAGATAATGTCATGCCATCTTCAGTTTTGAGGTCTGCTTTCAATGGTTGTATCAAATTTTTGACACCATCCCAGAAACCCAGTCCTACAAGCATTCTCTGTGCCCTACGAGCAAGTTTACAAAACCTTAAAGATCAAGGGCTCAAGCAGCTGACCGAGAGGACCTGTTTCCAGGTCCAAGGGCAAATAAATGTGAATGAATCTGACTGTGCTGGTGAGAGTTGGGAGAGAAGTTAGGGAGAAATGTACCTTTGATGGGTCCATGATGACTGTCGGCACAAAGTTGAGGAAGATGTGGTTGCAGTCAGTCCGGACATTTGTATTGTTAAAAGCAACTTCCAACTCATCCATGGCTTCCAGGAGCAGCCGCTCCCCTTCATTTTGTAGATATTCAAAGGAGGCTTCCTATGCAGGAAGAAAATCGCCAGCAACATTAACGTTTTTTAAAAGAGGCAATAGAGAAATGGCTGTTATAAAAGCACTTAAGCAGTAGCATATCATGAATCATAAGGCACCTGCTGCAGATGATATTTACTTCCCTCCCTGGGGTCAACCCAATGACCACAGGCAGCAGGGGCAGGCAAGGGTCAGATAAAGAGCTCCTGCCAGCCCTTCCTCCTGCCTCTTCTGCATCGTTTTCTTCTAATAGGACGCTGGGCATCCCCAGAGCTGCAACCCCACAAGGGTTACATCGCACATACGCCAAACAGAGTGGTTTAGAAAGGAAATCTGTTTAGAAAGGAAAAGTTGAAGAAAGGTTATGGCTATGGGATGCAGTAGTAACTAACACGCCAGGAAGTACCCTACTGTGTATAGAAACCACCCCACCTCTGGACAGGTTTATAATGGGGTCTAAGTTTCTCCTTCTCCTCTGTCATCACCTAACCCTCCCTGTGACTTTTCTGTTAGCATGCTTTTCTTTTTTCTCAAGTGAGGGCTATTATGCTTCCATTACCAAGAAAAATCAAATTAAAGGGGAAAAAACCCCTTCATTACATGGAATATTTACTTCTATGAGAGAAATGACTCTCAGATTTTTGCTGGTTATTGGAGAGTAGGATGAAAGAGAACAAGAACCTTGATTTGAAAAAGGAAAACCTGATTTTGAACCATGCCTGTTTCTCTGTCCCTTCCCCCTCAGGGAAAACGCCCCATGAAAGTCCAGCACCCACCTTGGTGACCAGGTCAGAATGTCTGATGATTGCACGGACAAAGAACCTGTAGTCTGTCACTTCGGTGCCCACTTCCACCTTGGCTGCCCCAAGGTACAGGTGCATCTTGTGATTAGCACATGGAATGGCAGTAAGGTCAAAGTTTCTCATCCGGTTCAGCTCTAACTGGAAAGCCAGGGCAGGCTCCAGGTGACGATAGATACGGTCTTCCTCAAACTGAACACGAGAGTTGGAGGAAAAAACAGCTCACAAGAGGCAGTTACAAAACCATATTATGAAAGTGTGTGTAAAAGAGATGCTTAAAAATAGAAACATAAGCCATGATGTGTTAATGAGCCAAAAAAAAAAAAGGAGCTACATAGAAGGAAAATGCTACAGCTTACGTAAGATCAGGCACTGAAGTACCTATTTACTTCGCAAGCTTTCGTCATCTATGCTCTTAAGAGTGCTGATGCTCTCCATTAAGGACAAACAAACAAAAAGCATCAATTCCCTCAGAATTCCTCCAGCATTTAAAGCCTTCATAACTCATTTTTTACAATTAACTAGTCTGCATCACATTAATGTCTATTTCATATACCAACATTTTAGTTTCATCCAACTAGTCCAAAATGCTTATGGGCAGGACCTCTGTCTCATATGCTTATAGTTTCTGGCAGAGTAAAAAGGATGCAGCAAAATACTTGAAAAATAAATATCATACAATTTTTAAAAATAGAGATATTTGGCTTTGGAACATCCTACACCCACAGATATAGAATTATTTATACATCTATTTTTGAAAGTTGTATTTACATCTACTGTATATTTTGCTGAAATTAGACGTGTTTAGAGTACATGTCAATTGAGTGAATGGAGACAACGAGCCAAAAACATAAGCTGGTAATAGGAAGAAACCAACATAGTCTGAAATTTTGCGTTTTAAAATTGAAAAACAAACGCACATAAACAAGACTTGAGTACAAATGAACTGTCTGTAAGTGACAAGAATAACCCTACTCAGTATAATAGTCCTTTAATATTAGATCATTAGGATAATCCTAAGGGACAATTTTGAACGTTATCGCTTTCTTTGGGTAGGTCAGTATATTTGATTATTTCCTAAACCAGACTCTTTCAGAAAGGAGTCTTCTTTAGTTCTAAGACACACATAAAGCAAAGGGAAGCATAAGTTCAATTACAGAGAGGAGACTGGCAAGAGGAACATATGGCAAAGATAAGCCACTCTTGGGGTTTTAAGAAAAAAATTAAGATTTAAAAAAAAAGGGGTGGGGGATGAGTCCTTACCTTATCCCTTGCTCGGAATGTGAAAAATTTAGGGAATTCTCTCTGTGTTAAAGAAGGGGGAAAAATGTGTCAGTCCTTCATAGATATGGCTCTTTGGGGATACACATGTAGTATAGAAGCAGTCAAGCATCCAGAAGACAGTTTCCTAGAAAGCATGCTCCTTCCCTAAGCTTAGCCTGGGGAATATGAACCATCCTCTGGGTAACCATCACTTTGACCCCACTTACAAATTTGAGAATCACCACATTATTAACGTAACTTTAACAGCTACCCTTTTCCAGGGGGAAAAAAAAGAAATAGTATTTTTTTCATCTCCCAAGTGAAAAAAATCTTCTTAGGGGTTGCTCTTGGCAGAACCTGGCAAATAAGACCAATATATCCTTACACTGCAGCACTGCAACAGTAGTTACTGGACTGATTTCCCAAGTTTCTCCTTAAGAAACTCTTAAAATGTAAACTAGCCAGACAGCCTAGAATCCCTAAACCATGCTTTTTCCACATTCACTCTTAAAAGTTAATAATTTCAAAGGTTTAAACAATAGCACTTCAAGACAAAGAAAAATACGAGATGTTACTTTGGTCACTACCACTCTAAGTATAGGAAAGAATGGGGTGGAACTAGTGAACTTGTAATCATTAGGTCTTACTGCTCTTTTGCAGGGCATTACACAAGAAAGCAACCAATTTACTAGAACCTTATTAATTAACAAAGATGAATTCAATTAGCAGAGTCCATTAGTTTCTGAAATTTAACTTATTAACACCAAATACCCCTGTTTCTCAGATGGGAAGCTCTACTGGCAGTGCTGGAGTCAAGTCATTACTGTTTGCCTCTACAGGAGGTTTCATTAGGCATCGTCTTCATTATGAGTGCAATGTAATCAAACACTTATTGGTACAAGACAGAGAGACCAGGACTAGCTGCCTAAACACCCCTCAATGAACTTTAGGAACCATGAAGGAAACATGTACTGAAAGCCTTCTAGATAGCAGGCACTCCTATGGGTTGTCCCATCGAATGTGCTCAACAACCTCTCCAGGTAAGTATTATGGCCCCATTTTACAGATGAGGAAGACTTTGCCAAGTGATAGTCCCTAGATCACAGAGCCGGAAGGTGAACTTGGGTCTCTATCGCCAGAGCCCATGACCTTTCATCTTGACACTCCACCTCTCAAGCGTAGGGCTCTACCTTTCTATTCTTGTTATAATCCAAATTCATTATTTAGAAGATTTCTCTTTGATGAGATCAAAAAAAGCAAAACTCATAGTTCTTAAATTTACTACGAACTTCTTGAATACGTTCCACAGGCCTTACGCCTCACCTTAACTATAGCTTGCACAGTTAATAAATCATTTTACATTTTCCCTGGCATTTTAACTGTAAAATAGCATTTAACAGGCTTCTAGGAGCTTGTTTAGCAAGGCCAGGGAACCACTTGTCCAGCCTTAAAAGCCCGTTGAAAGTGGATTTTATACAGCACTGATCTTTTACTGATGATATTTTGTCCTAAATAATTCTCTAATTCCCCAGAATGATAGTGAAGAGCATAAGGATGACTTCAAGGTTAAGCAGGAAGACGTTGAGCTGAGTCGTCAACAGATTTCATGCTCAGGGCTTTATATAGTCTAGTTTTGGTTTTATTCTCAAGGGGAACGGCTTTCAGAGCTTTAGCTAAAAAGTAACACAAGTCAAAAAATGGAAGGATAAAATCCTTTCATGAAATTTTCTGAAAGGAAAGTCAAGGAAAGTAATAATACAATCTTTTAAGCACATACTCTCCTATTCTGTCATAACTTTAATTAATTAATTAGTTAGTTAAACTATTTACTCAGTATGCCATTTATTCAAGTTTGTACAGTTGATTTTCCTTCAAAAATATAACAATAGTAACCAAAAAATGTTTTTATTTACCACTAATCCTATTAAAAAAAGGTATAGTAACTGAAAAGCACAAAAAGCAAACAAGTGAGTGGAAATACCTTTACTACAAATAATGAAAGAGGCTGAGAATTCTTGGCAGAGGTGGGCAAAGACCACCAATCAGAATCATTAAGGTTAGCTTAGAAAAGGTGTTGTGAGATGACATAAGCAAATCTTTTTAAACTTTTGAGTAAAATTTGAGCTTCACAGTGAAGTCCTTAATTTAAGCACAAAGCAATCAGAACAGGAGATGGTAAGAATTTCAGTGCAACAGGAAAGCAGGATTAATGAGCAATTCTTTGGGAGATACGGAAGAAGTCTGAGGATGTTTATAGAAAGTCATTTGGGGGGAGCGCTCAAAAATTACATAAACATTGAAAACCAGAAAAGAAGAAATCCAAAAGTCCAAACCCATAGTTTTTGTAAATTCCTTCAGCCTATCTCATCCTCATATGGCCAATTTTCCCACTAACGCATTCATGTTTATTCCATCACTAATGTAATTGCTTTCCAGGCATTCTTACTAGTGTTATGGGCAAATATCATAATTGAATGTACACAAAGAAAAACCCTCTCAGTGTTCTGGTACCAAAAAACAAAAGAATGCAACATTTCTCAGGAAGAAATTATACCCCTGCTGTGTTCTAATCAGCCAACCATCATCAAGACAATCAAAATAATTTGCCTAAATTAGCCAATCAAGACACCCTGCAAATCAGAGAATGTGAAAACCTGCAATAGAAAACATCATAGCTGATTATGATACTAATAATCGTGTTAAAAACCTAATGAGATGAAGAAATTGGAAGCTTGCTGGTGCAATTCTCTTTTACCTCAACACGCTGAGAACTAATTATATAGACTGTAATTAAAACAAAAACTCAAACCAAACCTTCTGAAAAACTAATAGTTGATCCACCAGCAAACAGAATTACCAATTTTTTTTCCAGCCTTACTGAGATATAATTAACATATCAATTTTTTTTTAAGAAATGAACTAATGATAACTATTTTCGATGGTGAGGTCTTCCTTCAGGCACAAACAATCCAAAACATTTCATTTTAAAGTGGGAGTCACTCACATAAAATTGGCAAAACTACAGTTAGCTCCTAGGTAATTTACAGCAGAATTTTTAAAATCTCATGAAATCTCACAAACAAGAAACAAAAGGAAACTTACAGGTGCAATACTGATTCAGAATCTCATCATGGTTTTTGAATCTAATGCTTTTGCTTAGGTGGCAAAGGATAAAAAAAAATCTGGAAAATAAGCATTTTAGTATCCTTAACAAAAACTTTGCTGAAAGAAAGTATGGAAAGGTCCAAAAAGTACAATATTTATATTCCAATTAAACAGCATCTTCTGCTGCACTTTTTGGAATACTGGATCTGAAATGTGAGTGAAACGAATATTTATACTACATAAAACTGGAGAACTGCAGCTTACATAGCTGCAGAAATTCAAAGAGCCTATTTATTCTTTTGCTTTCAAGGCTTCTTTTTTTTTTAACATGGAGAAGATATTTACAAGGGTAGACTTATTTTCCCTCAAACCTTCTCTTTAAATAACAATGTTGAACAGTTATTCAAGTCCCATTATATAGGTACTTGATTTAATTAGATGGTTATGGAAACAGACTCAACACCAAGCCTCCTTAATGCTGGTGACCACTGCCCGTTCGGAAGAACGGTCTCCATGTAGAGCCAAGAGACTTAAGCAGTAACAAACATTCTTGTGGACAGCTCTCTGGGGACTATAGTGATTAAACAAGAAGTTTTGGAAATAATTATAGCCTTCACTGGCATCTGAATAAGCACCTAACAATATAGACACCCCCTAGGAACCTCCACTTTGCCTGGCCCTGGTTTGCCTGGCTCTGGTTCTGAAGCAGTCTGAGAGATGATGACTCCATAACAGCACAGCTGCTTCATTCCACACCAGCCAGTGCTGTTCTTGAACCAAACCTGGTAACCTTCCTCCTCTCCTTGCCCCCTCCTCTGTGCATTCCCTCTTCCACTCAATAATACAGGGATTTCACAGGGTAGAATAGGGGAGGCTGCATACATCACAGTGGATTACCAGGAAGCCGAAGAGATCAAGGGATTCATCTCTAACACTCCTGGAAAGCTTCCTCTTTTTCACACTACACTAACTATGGGGCAAGCGCACATCAGATGACATGACAGAGGCTAAGCATCCTTCCAGCTACCACCAGCAGTGGAATTCAGAGCAGCATCATGACAGTGAGCCCCGGATTTGTACAACTCCTGCCAAGAATTTCAGGCTATTGCAGATCCTGGCCAGAGTTCAGTAATAGTCGCCCTTGCCCCCTGTGTAACTACTAATCATTTCTTATGGGCCTAACATCAAAAAACACGCCAACTCTTCTGCCATTCAGTTCTTTAGAGCAAATCCAGTCCATACCTAAACAAACCTTAATGTTCTCTATGTCCTAAAGCAACCTTTCCTACACTCATGACAAATCAGGTCACTTGATAATTTAACTGATTTCCCATTTGATGCCACTATACAGGAATTGGGTAGCAATTCCCTGAGAAGACCCCCTGCTGGGCTCATTTCCTAGCAGATTTTGTTTATACATGTCCCTGTTCAACCTAAATCTAGAAATATTAGGAGAGCAGGGAGAAAAAAATGTTTTAAAGCTATAGATATATTCTAGGACAGGATTTAGATTCACAGATAAGAAAGTACCAAAAAAACAAAAACAAAACCCCCCATAATGTTCAAGAGAATTAACTGCTTTGGCTTTTAAAAATTTTAAATAGAATGCTCATGTGCTACAGACGTGAAGACTCCATCTGAACCATTAGGAAAAAGGAAAACAGTGTTACAGGATTTAATATTATTCCTCAGAATAATATATTATTCCAAAGTCAGCGAGAAAAGAAAAAATCTATTAACACTTAAGAACGTAGCCCAACACTCCTCCCAAATCCAGGGCCTGGCTCTGGCATGTCTACCTGAGTTCTGATCGGCATCTACCAGCCACAGGGTTTATTCATGGGCTCTCATGCTCTACCCGCAAGTATCAATTTCATTCTCTAAGCTCCTGATTTTTCTTCCTAAAGCCCCGGGGTTCTCTTTAAGCTTCTCACACTTCTCCACTGCCTCCAGTTTCCTATCTACAGTTATTGATTGATATATATCTGCACTCTGCTTGATTTCCTGACATCAATAACACAGGGGAGTTGTGTAGTCCACAACATTTCCTAAAGTGTTTCAGAAAAATCCTAGCTCTTTAGCTTTCAGGCTGGGCTCTCTTGTTTCTCTATAGACTAGACCAACTGTGAGAGGGAAAACAAAATGTCAAGTGCTGGAGACCTAATAAACAAAAGGGCAATAAGAGCAATCACACACAGGTCCTTGAGTTTACAGAGTCCTTTCCAGAATCCCAAATGTCATCTTCATTATTGCAAATGAGCAGGGCTTGAAAACTAACTCAATCATCTTAATTGCCAAAACAAAACAAAATCAGAAAAATTAAGACTTCTTAATATCCTTTAGAATCCTACTTCACTGACACTAGGATCAATTTTTAAAGAAATATTTTTACTCCAATCAGTCATTTTAGAGAATGACATCTTGAATGCAAACTGGATTTCTGACCGTACTGCTAAGCATATTGGGTATGATCACACACATGTGCACCACAATTCAGAGGCCAGGCTATTACTTAATTCTCTTTATTAAAATTTTTCAATAAAATTTTTAATCTCATAAATATTAACATTTAATTCAATGAAATGGGGGAACAAGCAACTTAATACTTAATTTTTATTTATTTCCTCCTCTTAGAATTAACGTAAGACAAAAACACCAACTTGGGCTCCATTAAGGCATTTTAAATAATAAATGACTGTTCTTCAGAATTGAGAATTCTCAATAATAGAACTGGAATCCATCTTTGGTAGAAGCCAAGACCCCAAGTATAATTGGCAGTCCTTGATTACTGATTCATCGTGTGCACAGGAGAAATTACTAGTTAGCTCCCGCTTCTACCTTATTCATCTGGATAAATGCATATGCTCATTCTTAACTATTTCTCAGAGATATATTAAGAATTCATTATAGGGTAAAAAGGAAAAAAAAAACCTTTAGTTTGAACACTCCATAGAAGAACTGAATATTCATTATAGTATTTTCTCAAAGAGGGACCAAACGTCAGTCCAGCCCTTCTAAATAACTCTAAATATTTAATCAGTGGCTAACAGATAAAACAGCAAGTAATCTTTCATCATTGCTCTTTTTACTTACATGAAATCTCTGATCTACTTCATAGTTGACCTGTTTTCTGAAATCCTTTCAAATGAAAGACAGAAAGGAAGGAAAAACAGAAGTTGGCAATTAGTAACATAATTAAAAACCAATTGAGTAAAAGGTGATTAAACTAAGGCTTTTTCCTGATTAAATTTATAGCAAAACAGATTTTTCTCTGCATAAATTCTGCAAGTAAGCATACGATTATAACAACACTTTTCATTTTTTAAAGTACTAGCAGCAGCATAAGAAATATTAAAGAGGTACATAATTCACATGCCAATACCTTTTGTGCAACCAGGAAAGTGAGGCGCCGAATCCCATGCTCAACCAGGGTAGCTTTCTACAAACAAACATGTGAAACAGAAAATAGATGAGATCTCCACTCAGCCTCAGTTTTACCCCATTCAGTCCCTAGAAGGCTCTGATTGCACTAAGCACTCTTTTTTGAATATCTTTATCTTGACTTAGTACCTTCAAACTTGCAAACAACAAATCTCAACATGGCTCCTGGGACTAAGTTTCACAAAATAAGTTTTATATATTGATCTGAACAAAACTGAAAGAGAATTTTGTGGAGAAGAAAGGGTTGTATGAGGTCACTTAAATTCTCTAAGGACTGATACATACCAAGGTAGACCTTAACAAAATTTCTGCTTATAAAAATCAAACTGGTGGGCTTATATTTAAATGTGAAGATCACTACTGATATAGAAGCTAAATAAAATCAAGTAAAGAAAAAATTTCCATAAAATAGAAAATTCAAGTCCTAAACTGTTATTTAGACTAGAGCCATCACCTATTGTTTGATATAGCATTCCTAGATTTCAGTCTAACAACTTTTAACCTTTTCAGTTCTGAAACATTTCCTCTCTACTTTATATGATGGTATTTTTTTTAAAAGATTCTATTTAAAAATTGTTAAAAGCAGTGCTTAACAGTCTTTTAAATTTAGTGATTATTTGTATCTCCACTTGGCATAGGCAAGCAGTATATCAGAGGTCAACAGAGACCAGCAGCTTCAAGACAGTCCCTTACATGAGTCTTGGGCCTTTGGGTCAGACTTCCTCTACTTGGTACTGCTCACTCATCTCAAAAGATAAAGACAAAGGAACAGATTAATGAAGTGAGTAAAAGCCATCCTCTTAAAGGACCGTAACAAAGAGGGGCTACATGTTAGCAAGTACGGAAGCAATCGCACCCATTGAATGACCTGATAAAAATACATGAACGAATAGAAAAAAAAAATTGAAAAAAATATGTGGACTTTCACAACCTACATCCAGATAGTTTAATTACCTTCTTTACTCTAACCAAGAGCTATATTTATAAGCCAATTCTTAACTTTTTATTTTTCAAATTTTATTTATTTATTGAAGTATAGTCAGTTTCAATGTGTCAATTTCTGGTGGATAGCATAATATTTCAGTCATATATACATGCATATATTTGTTTTCATTAAAGGTTACTATAAGATATTGAATATAGTTCGCTGTGATATATAGAAGAAATCTGGTTTTTATATATAGTAGTTAATATTTGCAAATCTCGAACTCCCAATTTATCCATCCCACCCCCTTTCCCACCGGTAACCATAAGACTGTTTACTATGTCTGTGAGTCTGTTTGTTTAACTTTCTTAATACTATATATTTTTAAAATCAAAATTGGCTTCTTCCCCTTATAAACAAGCACATTCCTGGGCCATTTCCTCTTATTTTTTCCATTTCTACTATGGCATTGTTTAGTAACAAAACTAATTAGCAGCATAAGCAAAAGATAACTGGAGAAATGAATTTTCTAATAATAAATTACCCAGTCAAATATAAATGAATTTTGGTTTAACTACATCTTAAAATGATTGGCACTGGCATCATACTCATTAATGTAAATAATCAAATATTGATACTACAATAAGAAAAGAAAGGAAGGAAGGAAGGAAGGATGGAAGGAGGGCAGGAGGGGTGAAAGGAAGGGGGGGAAGGAGGAAGAAAGAGGTGAGGGGTTGGGGTGGGTCTCTGTCTCTCAGTATGCTGAGGAACAGAAACATTTCTTCTGATACCAACAAAGAATTCCACTACAGCCAAGTCCTTCAAAGACAAGCATCAATAGCTATGTTCTGGCAAGGGAAGAAAATAACTTTAATAATGCCATGATTTAAAATCAAAATTGTTATTGCTTTAAAAATTCCACAAGTGGCTGACAATAACAGCAGAGCAACAGGATTCTGATTACATTGTAATAATGCGGGTCTCACAGCAAGTCCACAGCTATTACCCAGCGATTAGGCGTCAGCACCTGGAGAAACTCCATTTACACTGACTGCTTCAATCTCCTCCACAAGTCATTTACAAATATATGATCCTAATTTCTATGAGAGAAAAAAAGACATGCTGGGACTAGAAGATTATTTGGACAATTTGGATCAACCTATCTGATAGTTTAATGTGTTCTTTAAAAGAAAAAAAAAACTTTTTCTAAACTGCTAGGAGCATGATCATGAAGTGAAAAATAAAATTAGTTATCACTTCAGCTTTGTTTTTAAATTGCTTTTCCTTCCTTTTCTTTTTATATATATATTTCAAAACAAGTAGGTGAAAATGCCAAATATTCCTGGGTAAGCACAGTACCTGATTCAGTTAGTAGCTCCCCCAGGTCTGGCAAAGTCAACTGTTCCCCTTCTGCAGAGCCCTGGGCAAAGACGCTGGATTGCTCTGTGCCTCAGTTTACAAGTCCAGTAAAGGAAGAGGGTAACTTACCAGCAATTAATGTTAGAACTATATGTAGTGAAAATAGAGAAACTGCCTCTTTAAATCCATGTGGGATGATATATAACATATAGGTCTGAGGGTAAAGAAAAAGCCTAAAGTTGAGGTCAAAACAATGAAATGTGGGCAATTAGTGTCTCACAACCTGGGAAGAAACTTTCATAGATTATTTCATCAAGCAACAGCATCAGCAGCCATGTACAACACTAGGACTCTTCCAGATAAGGTCACCTTGGGCACTGGTCTCAGGTTAATTTCATGAGGTCATGCACGAGTCAAGGGCAAGAAGGAAGGCAAATTTCTCTTCTAAAGGAAAATTCCTAGGCATGACCCCTACTTCCACTTCTCTGGAAGTGCCTTTCCTCACTGCGATCCCACAGCCAGCTCACATGCTGTGAGAGCACCGTGGAGACAAAACTACGATCTTTTCCTGGGTATCTACCATTAGCCTCATATGATGTGAATGCCTATGGCACTAACTGCTGAATTAATTTTAAAAATGTATTATTCTTTTTTTTATGACAAGCACTATGGGCTAGGTGCTTTCTATTCAAAGAAAACACATGGGTCTTGTCCTTAAGGGCAGCTGAGGAGGGGCACTTTGGCATCTATCATACATTGCAACGACATGGAACCACAGATTGTCATTTTGAATGTGCCTAACCAGTTGCCCCAACTAGACTATAAGTATCTTCAGGGCTAGGAATGTACTATTTACTAAAGCTGTGCCCGCCTAGAGCTGGCATCAAAGCCTTAAATTCTACTTTTTGCTCTGTCATCTACTGGCTAGTGATTAAAGGGCCTTAACCTCTCTGGGCTTGAGTTTTTCCCCACATGTACAATTGGAATAATTCCTGACTAATCTAACCTCATAAGATTGTGGTAAGGTGCAAATAAAAAAAAATTGAATAGAAGGTCTTTATAAATAAAAAGTATTATTATTGCTAATAAATATATGCTAACCAATTAGAAATTCAAAGGAGAAAAATACATTTTTAGTTAGGGCTACTCAGAGAGGTCCTCATAAAAAAGAAAATTTGAGACAGTTCTTAAAACAAGCAGGGTTTAGAAAGAAAGGTTGAGGGGAGGGAAGGAAGGAGGGAGAGGAGGAGGGAAGAAAGAAAGAGGAAAACATTCCAGATAAGGTGCAGTAGCAGAGATCAAGCAAATAAGGTAGAGGAGACAAAGACTCAAGTCTTTTCATGGAAGAGCAAAGGCTAGATTGTTAGCCTTCATGAACAGGCTGATGTTAAACACCAAGTGGAGGAGGTTTCCTGAAGGTTAGAGAGAATCAATCCTCAGTGGGAGAGTAACTTGGAAAGGGGGCATTTTGGACATCGAATTTTGTGGTGGTGAGCAGAACTGAAAGTACCCGGAGAGCAAGACTGAAGATCACAGGTAAGCCTGTTGCAGTGCCTCAGGTGTGAGGTGAGGAAAGGTCTAAACTAGAGAGATGGTCATGGGAATTAAAAAACCACAAAGAAGGGGGAAGGAAGGAAGGAAAACAGAGAGGGAGGGAGGGGAATGGAAAGGGAGAAGAAAGAAGCGGAGAGGAAAAAGGAAAGGAAAGAAAAGAGTAAGAGAAACTGCAAAGAAAACACTAAGAGACCACGGTGACTGGCCAGATACAAATACACACAGACAGAGTGTGGGTAGAGGGGCAGAATCATGGAACAGCAAAGAAAAGGAAGAAGCCAGTGATTTCTGAATGATTGGGGGCAAAGGATTTGGTTACTAGGGGGCTTTTTTGGTTTTGTTTAGGTATTTTTGCGCAGGTTGGGGGAGTCAGAAGAAGTGAAGGAAAATGATGGGAATTTAGGTTTAAACTATGGATTTTGATGTCAACACAAGATATCCAAGTGATATAAAACTGAAAGGAGGATGCAAGTATAACTGACATTTTCAAAGTTGGCAGGGAAGGTCACTGAAGGGGCCCGAGGGAAGTTTGGGCCGAGACATGCAGAGTTGTCACCAAAGGAAATGCAGCAGGTGACCGGAAATCAAGTCAAGATTGGAGCTCTGGGAAAGATTTAAGAACATATCGCCACTTCCTTAAAACATTTTAAATGTTTGAGGTCTATTATTTCTTGACAGAAAAAGACATGTATTTTATACCATTAAATCACTTTGGAATGTTACCCGATCAGGCAGAACTATGTAAAAGACATAGCCATTATCGGTGATAGGCCTTGTAAGTAGCAACTGATAGAAGGATGGATATGACATACAGCCAGCAGGAAAGGGGCCATCACCAGTTTCCACCCAAGCTGAGAACTTACATTTTGCTGGGTAAATTCTCGGAACATCGCTGCCAGCCTGTCATCCTCAATGTCACAGTCAGTCTTGATAGCCACATTCAGAATGTGTATCGGTTCATCCCGGGGGACCTACAACCCAAGAACAAAGAAATTAGGAGGCTGGCTAATACAAGGCAGAGAGAAGTTACAATATTCAGTAGAAAACCTGAAAAAGAAATATGCCCCACAGGACATTTTGAATGGCCCACTGGTAGGAATGAGCAAATTGAAACCACTGCCCAACACCCACAATGAAGGTTAAATAAAAACATCTAACTTTTAAAAGATAAGGCGGCAAAGGTATTAATGAGAGGTGGCCCCAAATCTTGACTTGATATGAACCTGAAGATCCACTGAGTCTCAGCTTTTCCACCAATAAAATGGGAACAAAACCACTTGCCACATCTCTTCACAGAATGTAAAGACAAATGAGTGAAAGAAGCCATCTGAACATACTTCATAACAATTTGCCAAACAAAGGAAGTATGAAACCATGGGAAAATAACCTGGTAGGGAAGAAATAGGGCAATTTGTTTACTAAGAAATGAAAAGAAGGGATTTTATAAAAGGACAAATTTTTCAACACAGTTTCTATTTTTTCTGCTCTCTGAAGCCCACCATTCCCTAAAGACTACCATAGCACCACTCTGCAAATATACAAGCCATTATTGAGTAAGAATTAAAGCAACCAAAGCTCAGAGACCCAGGGCAGCTGCCATGGATGTAGCCAAACTCATTCCGCACTATGGATTCCAAGATTAATACAGTTGTTTTTATTTTTAGGTTAGCATTTATATTCCACCTGTTTCCAAAACTACTTTGATGAGGCATATAAAATTAAATAATATAAATTAGAGTGGAAAAGATGAATTCTTCCTCATAATGTTCCTAAGTCATAAAGCGAGTAGACAAGTCCTGTACCTGAAGGAGCAAATATACCCCCAAAGGGGACACCATACCTTGTCTTCGTCGTAAAGAGATGTGTGACCTGCCTCAGGGAACGTGGGGCTTTGGGGTGGGGAATCACAGAAGCAGCCCATCACTTCGTCAAAGATCCTGAAAAATACCAGAGAAACACCATGAAAACCCAAGTGGCAGAAAACCTAAGTGGCAGGAAACGTACGCTGTTCCTGTCGGCCCTGTCTGAAAGAATAAATAATCTATCCTACCCTGTGCTCAATAGTCAACTAAATAGAATTACCAGTGGCTAGAGGTGACATGCAAAATTTCACCAAGTGGCAGAAATTAGGAGGATGGATTGTTTAAACTGTAATAAACCATATTTTTTTTCTTTTTAAAAAAGAATGATCTAAAGCTTTTTCTTTTCTTTTCTCTCTCTTTTTTTTTTTCATATGTAAGGTATGAGCATTGCTGTCATCATTGGTCTTAAAGTAACAGAAAGAGCCTGGGACTAGAGCAGTGACAGACCAATGTAATTACCCCTCCCCCCAGGGTAACGCATCAGTATACATCAAGAGATAGATGCTGAATGCATTTAATCAAAAGATGTATCGTCTCTGGTGGGGCTCAGTCTCGTGTTGTGTTTTAAGTTCTCCTGACATTTCACTCATCACAGAGCAGATAGCTTCTTCTGTTAGCTACTGAGGAAACGATAGTTTTTGTTCGTTTCTTTTTTTCTGACCAGGCTCATATAACAAGTAGAGGCTTGCAGAGTCTGCACGAGAGGTGGAAAGGGAAGGACATATACCCCTCCGAGGGCGAATACGGCAAGGGCTATGTCTCGTTAGCTGGCTCGTGGCTAATCTGGGGTCCTTTATTCATTTGACAGAAACCTGAGATGCCCAAGGCTCCCCTCGGATAGACACAGTTCCACGATGCCTTACCTGACAAAATCTTCAAAAGTCCGAAAAGAGACCATTCCGCCCATCCGCTGACACGGTGGAGTGAATGAGTTGTCCAGCAGCACGTCGCTGACACTAGCTACATGAGTCATGCCATAGTGGTTGAGGTTGGAGGAGAAGGACATTCTAAATGGTAATTCAATCAAGTGCATTAGACAAGGAGGGTAGGAGCAAGGACTCGGAGAATAACAATAGGGAAAAGGAGCGAGGAGGAAACTGAGGTAGGGTCAGGTTGCAGAGCAGATCTGGTATTTTTAACCCACTATAGTTAAGTTGTCTTGCTAGATTCACATTAACCCTTGCATTTGAATTCCTGCCCCAGCCCCGACACACAGTATTTTTTACCACTCCCCAAATTTCTCCAAATAAAAATCTAAGAACTGTCAGGAACATCATGGTGGTTTTAACACAACGACATCATGACATGTCGAATGAAGGAATGGCACTTAGGGGTTAAAAACCATCCTGCACCTTCCCCTTCCCTAAAACATTCCCTCTTTTAAAAGGAAGTAAGCAAGCCAAGTGAGTCGCAATGAGGCAACACTTACGGCATTTTTCTCTAGGAATTGTAACAGACTAAGTATTCACAGATAGATGCATGTACAACAACCAGTAAAGTCATTTGGAATGGTCTAGTAAATCATTAAAAAAAGCATGGTTCATCATAGAGAAACAAGTCAGTCTATAAAAGGAACTTCACTGAGGTGTTTACTTTTTTCCTTTAATGGGCTGATGGGGAGAGCAGTTAAAAGGATTATATAGCTCCTTCCTTTTTTGAAAGAGAGACAGTTTTGCAAATTTTCCTTTTTTTTCTATTTAAACACTTCTATACCAAAGTATATCTTCGCTGAAAGCCTTTAATTAATCTCAGCAAGATACAAAAGGGCAGAGCATGGGTCTCAAAGTATGTGTAAGCATGACAAATAGGTGTAAATGGAGATGCTCAAAGAGAATTGAATTGATTTTTTTCCATCTAAAAACGTAATGAATCCGGATATTCCTTGATGCACCTCAGCAGCACATACTGAATAAATAGTACTGTAAAGTGTTTATGAAGGCCGAGTCATCAGGACAGCCTGTTAGGAAGGACCAAGCCACAGGATGCCTCCAGGACTTGCCTGACACGTTACTGGCATACTGATCTGAAGCAAGTTTGGAGCAAGGCAATGGCACCTGAACTCTGGGGAGCTGCTCAGAAATCTCCTCCAAGTGCACCACCTGCAGTATTGCAGGGGGAAGGGAGCTTGCAAAGTGGGCTAGTGATCTGGGTACACACTGTACTCTATTGCAAACTGTAATTATAAAAGGCAATAGAATTTTTTTTAATAGAATGGGAGTGCTGCTCACACAGACTATAGAGACTGACACTCCAGGTTTTTAATTCCTTTGGCAAATGACGACTATAAAAAAGGTACCCCATCTTTTGACAGTACCAGGGACTAGAAAGGTAGAGTGGGAGAGGAAACCATTGATACCATGAATGAAACAAACAAACGAAACACACATCAAGCAAGCCTTACACACGGTGCTCGCTAGAAACTGGATTCAGAGTTGTTCAGACTCAGATATGCTACCACCCTCTTTTCTAGGATCACCAAAAGGACTGAGCCAAGGAGCAAGTTTGTGAGGCATTGTATCTTTTCTACCTGCCTGGCATTAGACAGGAAAGATAATTGAGATAACCCTTAAAGGGAACTGCCTCTGAGTAAGCTGACAGGCTACGTTGGTGGGAAACATGGGGTTAAGAATCTTTTTCACTCAAAGAGCCCCATGGGACGTATCCGCATTTCAGTTTCCCCCACGACCCTGCTCTGGGGCCAGGACGGCTCAATGCAGGCAGGAATGAAGAAAGCCCACTGTCCAAGAGCAGACAAGAGGACCGGACAAAAGCACTCCCTTTCCTCTCCCCATGCAAACTGGATGCTAAAAACCATGATCAGTTTTGATTACTTATTATTTAAAGGGAGAGGGACAAAATAAACATATGTCCGTAAATATTTCAGTATATAATTTGATCATCTACAAAGAGCTCGCCACCAACTTGCTGCGGCTTTAGCATTTTGTGGATTCCAATCAGTACTGCTATCCTCTCAAACTTGCACTGTGTTGCCTTGCTTGGCTGAGGAGCAGAAGGAAGCACTGCAATATTACTTGTGTTACAGTGGTCTGGAAGCATCTTCACAAGGCTACATGCAACACAACAAAACTTTGGATATACTTTTCAAATGTTAATCTTATTATAGGTCTGAAATAAAACTTGACTTTCAAATCATCATCACACTTTAACACTTTAGAGAAAATAGCCAACAAACTGATAAAACATGAGATCAGCTATTCCTGCATTTGCATTTCTCTGGAAGGAGAAGCGAATCAGAGAAAGTAAAAATTGAAAAATTTACGAACAGTTTGCCAGCATAGGAGTAATCGTAAGGTTTTCTCCTCTGAAAGCCCCAAACTAGACCGACAACTTAGCAAAAGAAGATGTTTACAGCAAAGCTGAACATCAGGCAGATTCCTCTATCATGTATAGCTAGGTGGGAGCTTTCCCATACTGAGACTTTTCAAGTATTGCTTTTTGAACGGCTGAAGAAAAGCTGAAGACATGTTTTCTAAACAGAAAGAATAATTTAGTATGTCCAAAGGGGAGCTCAGGACTCCCTAACAGAAGATATTATGTTAGTTTGTAGTGTTATTTTTCCCCCTAATTTCACTATTCCAAGTTACAAAAAAAAGGTGGTTTTAATTGGGAGGGGGAAAGAAAACTAAATATACGGTACCTGTTTAGCGTGGGGATGTTCCCTCTGTAATTAAACAACCACAGTTAGTTACTGACAGGTTAGTGAAAGCCATAATAAAAGAACTGTCAGAGCAGATACAGACCAGTGGGGAGGAGCTCCAGTTTGGCCGCTCTGGCATTCAGCAGACATAATTAAGTGCTCATTACCCTTCAACCCCCGGGATGCCTCCAAAGAGGCATGCCTCCTGACCTACCCCACCACAGCAGCTGTTGACGGAAAGGGTCGAAATATATTTACCATGAAATTTTTTATAGCTCTATTACAAAAAAATAATGCAGAGTAAGAATAAAACACAGGCTTGTGAAAATTAATTTAAGCTATATGATATGGTATATTATCTCAAGCTTCGATATGAAATACAATTCTTGACAAGACTCTTGGAGAATCTTCTTACTCATTCCTATTTTACTAAAAATGCAATAAGGAAGTTCGGAAGTTGATTCCACAGCCCCTTCCACCCTAACTGTTCTTCTGGGATGTACAATGCACCTACAAACTCTCCTCTAAAAAAAGAAGTCAGGAATCTGGGTTCCCAGCTACCTTTTCTAATTCTCTTTAACCCTGGTCTTTCTCCGGAAGACCTGGCTGGGTGGGGGTGGAGGTCAGGGGGTGGCATACTATAGGAGCTTAAAGGAACTGAAAATCATGCAGGAATGTAATGACTAATGATTCTATGATTAGAGCGGTATAAATTGTTAAAAGTTAATTAATAATTTTTAAATTAAATGCGTTTAGGGTAATAATGACTTTTTTAAATTGCTGTTTAAGCTTAAAAACTCTAGGCCTTCCATAAATAAAACCTTACTAGATTTGGCTAGCCCTAGAATTTCCTAATAAAGAACGCTGCAAAATCGTGAAAGACTAAGATAAGAATGGAAACTGCAAAGTGAGTTTAATGCATTCTCTTTGGTCTTTGGCACCAATGCTTTTTTTCCCCCTTAATCTGATGTCAGTCATGTCCTCAAGTGGAAAAAAAAAAGTGAATAAAACTCCTTATTTTCAATGTTAAGAGGGAAAAGTTATACTTACTACCCACAATTTAGGAGTCCTGTAAGGGGGTTGATTGGTTGATATCTTAACCTTCTAACATTCTTTTATCAGCATTTAATTGGGGTTTTCTGGCACACAGAGGACTTAATGGGCAGAACATAGTGGGTGGTGCTGATGACATGTGGGAAGGAGGAGAGAGGGAGGGAAATGATGCACTTTCCACGGCAGCGAAAGGAGCAGAATAGACTGAGCTGGCCATATAAATAAAGAGCTGTGACATATCACTGCACACAAACTGTACACCTCGTGTGATTTGTGAGTAGCAATGCTCTCTGCATCAAACCTGTATCACAGAGCCAATTCATAAGGCAGCAAGAGCAACCTCAGAGAGCAAAAGCCTGCGCCTTTGCCGTGTAGATTCTTCGAGCCTCTCATTCAGGGGGATGGGTTTCATTTTACAAGAGATTCTTAGTTACAATGCACTTGGCCCTCATCAACCAACAAAAAGTAGGCACAGGTGCTAGAGCAGAAGCAGAAAACTAAGAGTAAATGCTAATGAGAATATAGGAAAGTGTCCCTTTTAAGATACAAAGGATTCTAAAGAAAAGGGCCACCTGCACAGTCTCCAATCCATGAACCTCAGTTCAGAGAGAAGAACCCTACAAGCAGAGCAATCTCAGGTTCCATCCATCCAGGTTTCTGGAATTTAGAAATCAGTGTAATCTCTCTCCACTGTTAACCAATTTCTCACACTAATAAAATGGTCTCACTGCTTCTGTGGCTACACTCTAATCCCTTAGGGAGTCTTCACAGGATGAGGGCCAAGTTTTCAGTAGAAAGGGGCCTGAATTGAAAAGAACACCACCAACAAAAAGCCAGCCCTTCTCCATCAGCAATCCTCAAGCTCTCACCGGGAGCCCCCTGCTGCTTTGCTATAGGAATCATGCACCATCTACACAGCATGGGGTGAGAAGAAAAACTCCCAACATCTCCAGTTTTAAAGGACTGGCCTCAAATCAATCACATAAGAGGTAAGTTTAGAGGCAGCTTATCTTCTTTGATAGAATAAGAATCTGTGGGGCTGTCAGGGAGATGACCAGGGAAGGAAGGTTAAACTCTCTACTACCAGGTAAATACTTAGCCATGTCTATAATGATCATTTATATATTTTGTTACTCTATACAGGGGCTATTTGATCAATTTAAGAAAATGACCAATGTGACATACTGCACAGTATTGTGATACACTAGAAAGCTAGATCCATGGTCTGCACAAAAATAAACAACCAAGGTAGAGACTGTATATGAGTCAAATATTCCATTTATATGGCTAAAAATAAAACAAAATCTACCATATTTCACTGCATACTCATCATGCAAAAATAGCCCAATTGCTCAATCTCTGATAAGGCAATCAACTGCATTTTCAAATACATAAAAGGGGTACAAATTCCCTTATGAAACATTTGTTGTTTAGGCTCTTCAAAGCACGCATGATGAATCTTCACTTACAATGTTTTGAAAAATATTGGAATCATTTTCCTTTTAGGAGATTAGCTCCATTTTACAGACGTGATAACTGATAAACCAAAGGGGATGCTTTCCAAGGATATCGCTCAATAGGGTGTCAAAAACCAGAATCTAGACCTGGTATTTTCTCATCTCTGTTCCCGAGGGTAGCAGTCCACATCAATATAGACTAAATTTAAAGAAGGACAAGAGAAAGCCTTTGAATTCTGAGGTCCTCGGCATTAAGTCACCTCTGATTTTATTGATCTGCCTGCCTAGAATGGCTAGAGAGCCTGCTTCAATATGAATGCAAAGTCAGAGTTGCTGCCTGCTGGCTGAACCCTCTTTATTTAAGGAACACTGACTTCTCTGGCAGGCACAAGTTCTCTGGGCCTTTTACCATCCCTTCCATCTGAATTTCATTTTGCTTGATTCTAGCTGGCCCTACATAAATCTTTTATTATATAAAAATTCTGCTGATTCTTCTGCCTTCTAACTTGAAGGGGGAAAAAAAAAGAACCTATATGAAAATGATGGGGATGCATGCAAACAAGCAGTGGTTACATCAAGCTGTGACTGAGAGCCAGGATAGGGCAAATCTTTTGAAATCAGGCAGCAAAGCAGAATCAGAAGAGGTCGGCTGAATAACCTACTAGCAGTCACTAACAGCAGTACCATAGGAGAAAGAGCAATTTGACTGGCTGTGACCAGCGGTGGTCTCCTTGTGTGACTGTTTCTGCAGGAGAATCCAAATCGAGAGCTAAAAAACATCTGAACCGTGTATTTCTATTGGCATCTTCCCCACCACCTCCTGGCCGTTCAGATGCCCTGATTCCACTGCAGAGCTTTCGTTTACAATAAAGTGATCATTGCTTCATTCATTTGCAGCCCCTTCAAAGCCCCTTCTTTGCTCTGCTGGAAGATTTTGCTCTTTCTGAAACAAATATGCCAACAGAGCTACAGCGTATTACTACTGCCTGCTGTATAATTAGCTACAAACCCACAGTGCAAAACTACAGGGATTTACAGGTGCCCTGGATTCTGCTTTTCCTTCCCCCTGGAATCAGCTAGTCTTCCTTGACAAGAAGGGACCTTGGGCTCCCCTAATGATATATTGAGTTTTATACTCGACTCTCCAATCTTACAAGTCCAGAGTGCCAAAATAACAGAGCAGAGACCAGGAGCAGAGCCATGGATACAGGAAAGCACTTTGGTAAGCACTTAAACCTGCTGAGAATCTTCTCTTTTGCCAGATGCTTGCATCTTATCAGCAGACTACCCTGAATGAAGGAAGCAAGCACTGTAGGATTTTATTTATTTATAGCTCATTCTGGCCTGCTAACTACAACCAAGGGCTCCCACTGCTAAAAAATGCTACACGTTGGATGACTTGAGTGTCTCAGTATGAGCCAAAGGGTCTCATCTCTGGGTGTCAGAGATGATTAGAATTCTCAAGAATGGCAGTAGGCTGCCGATGAGTCACAATGGAAGGCTTCTGATTGCTAAACTTCCTCACAACCTCCTTCATAAAAAGATCCTGAGGCCACCCACCGACAGCTGAACACTGAAGATGCCAACAGCCTGAATTCAGTCAACACCAAAACATGTGCTATCAGGGGAAAACACAGCCGACCTCTTCTGGATGTGAGACAGGAGAAAAGGAAAGTACTTGAATTAAAACATTATAACATAGAAGGTCGAATTCACAAGGAGCAAAGAGCAGAGAAAGTGCAGTGCAACTCAAATTAACTAAAGCATGGATTTCCATCTAAGAAATAGGTGGAAATAAACACCAATAGGTCCTCACCCATTATACATGTACAGAAACATACAACAAAAGTAGACTTCCATCTCCTGCTTCAATTTTGATGCTTCTTATTTGAATCACAGATTAAAAGTTTCAAAAAATGAACTATGTTCACTAATGTGTATTACTTATGAAAATCATTTGTAGTTTTAAGTTTCATATTCCCAGAATGGCATAATATGCATATAGCCATGTGCATAGCTACAGAGTTTATGAGGTAACTTACTTCACTTTTGTTTGTATAAATATAGCTATATTTTGGAAGATCAAATACACAGGCTGACTAAAGAATTTATTAGTTTCCAGATTATTCAGAGTTACTTAATATGGCCAAAGCTAAGTAAAATCGTGAATGTCAAATTCGATGAATCGTCAAAAATACATGCAGGACGATGCTTTTGTGTAACAAGCTTTTCCATCACCAGCACCAGTGAGTGATAAACTAGGGTTTCAGAGCGAGAAAAAAGACACGTCTCGGGCTCTGTCCCCTGAGCCTCATTGGGAAAAGATAGAGAAAAAGGAATGCTGAATGGTAACAGTCTGAGCTCCAGGATTAATCCATGTAAAATACTGGTTGAACTCACTAAAGAGCTGGCCTGATGGAATTTTAGACAAAAGCATTTAAGTCCTAAAAGTCTAGATAATAACAAAATATTCTCTTAGTGCAGTCCAGCTGTCCTGACTACTCCTGCACCAAG